TTCTCTTGGGCTATTGAGAAGAGTGAAAATCAGCATAAGTCTACAATCTAGAAGAAAAGGGATTTGACCTAAAATATACTGAGTTGAAAAGAAATACAAATCACTAGTTATGGTGTTGTAGGGACAAACGAGGCAGGGCACCAAAGATAGCAGGAAACAGTTTTATTTGGCTGCAGCCAGGTTCAGAGGGCACAGCTTTTGCTGTAATCAATCAATCCCTCTGAACCCTGAGTTCAGGGAGTTTCAGAATTTTATACCCCGCGTGTAAGGGGAGGGGCTCAGAAGTTCACAGTCTGCAGAAGTTCACATAAAAGCAGCTTTTTCTTTCACTGTTTTGGGCAAGTTAACTCTTCAAGGACAACACCTGAGAAGGGGAGAGCTTCTTCTCCCCTCTCCTTCCTCCCCCTGCCAGCTGTTACCATGGAGCCCATTTGTAACTTATCTTAAAAATGTAGACATCTCTGTGAAGCCCAGCTCAAGGCCAGAGGCCTTGTTTGCACATTTCTTCAAAGTACTATACTGGATACGTTTGTGAAAACTAGTAAGGGGATGTCCAGCACCTGGAGTGCTGGTATCTTCCCGGCCAGTGGCCAAGTAAACAGGGCAACATGAAAATAAGAAGTTTATCTACATTAGACTCTTTCTCAGAGACTCTTTTGCTGACAGTCCTAAAATCAGCCATGGTGAAGAGGGCTTTTCTGTAGAGAAAGGGGGTGCCACTTCAATGGGAGTGTAAATTGGTGTAGCTACTTTGGGAAAACAGTTTAGCATTATCTTATAATACTAAACATTAGCTTGGCCAGTGTTTGACAGTCTTTCCTCTTGTAGGTATGCAACTAGAGAAATGCTTGCTTTTGGCTCCAGGGGACAATTAAATGGATGTCCAGAGCAGCACTATTTGTCAAAGCAAACTGGGAATGACAAGTATGAAGTCGACATAAAATATGATATAGCAGTGAAAGTGAATCAACTGCAGCTATGCACAACCATGTGTGCGGATCGTAGAAACATCGAGGGGAAAGAATAAAAGGCTCGGAAGTTACTTATTTGGATAATATTATTTTTATAAGGCAAAAGTCCCGCATCCTTGACAACATTTACTGGATACATTCATTTTCATTTAAGAGTTATTTTTTTAAAAAATATTTTTAGTTGTATACAGATACAATGCCTTTATTTTATTTATTTATTTATTTATTTATGTGGTACTGAGGATTGAACCAGTACCTCTCCTGTGCTAGGTAGGCACTCTACCACTGAGCTACAACCCCAGCCTCTTAAGAGTTATTTTTTTAAGTGTTTATTTTTTTTAATTGTAGTTGGACACAATATATTTATTTTTATGTGGTGCAGAGGATCGAACTCAGGGCCTAGCACATGCCAGGTGAGCGCTCTACCATTGAGCCACAATCCCAACCCTATTTTTTTTAAATATATTTTTTTAGTTGTACGTGGACACGATACGTTTATTTTATTTGCTTATTTTTTTGTGGCTGAGGATCCAACTCAGTGCCTCACACGTGCTAGGCAAGCGCTCTGCCACTGAGCTACAACCCCAGCCCAAGCGTTATTTTTTTAAAGCAAGAGGATGATAAATGTAAAATCCCAGTCAGAGGACTGTGATAAAAAAGAAGTAGAGAGCCACTGGTAATATTCTTCTTAAATTGGGGTAGGTATGTGGTATTCATTTTGTTTTCAGACTTTGTACCCTATCATCTAGGTTAGTGAAGTTCTATAGGATGTATTAAGTAATATATTACATTAAAAAAAAAAAAACATTGGTAACCCCATTTCTCCAAGGCATCTACTGTTTGTGTATATTGCATTAGTAAATCACAATGTAGAGAAAATCAGAAAAATCATGAAATTATAGGATTTTAAAAGGCCTTCAAGCAGCTGGAGTTTTGGCTCAGTGGTGAAGCACTTGCCTAGCGAATATGAGGCTGACTCAGTTCAATTGTCAGTACTGCATATAAATAAAATAAAGGTCCATCAACAAGTAAAAAAAAAATTTAAAAAGAGGCCTTCAAGATGGTCATCTAGTCTGAAATGTAACCATTTAAAATTATAAATACTAGTGAATATTTATAGTTCAAGAAATGGGAGAGGACTTTTTAAAATTTTGTTCTTTTTAGATATACATGACAGTAGGATGTACTTTCACATATTATACAGACACGGAGTACATCTTATTCTGATTAGAATCCCAGTCTTGTGGTTGTACATAATGTGGAATTTCACTTGCTGGTGTAGTAATATATGAACATAGGAAAGTTATGTCTGATTCATTCTACTGTCTTTCCTATTTCCATTCCCACCTTCCTTTCATTCCTTTTGTCTAATCCACTGAACTGCTATTCTTCCCTCTCCCCCTTACTCTGTGTTAGCAACTGCATATCAGAGAGAACATTTGGCCTTTGGTTTTGTGGGACTGGCTTATTTCACTTAGCACGTTAGTCTCCTGCTTCATCCATTTATTGGCAAAAGTCATTCCTTTTATGGCTAAGTAATATTCCATTGTGTATATAAACTATATTTTCTTTATCCATTGTCTGTTGAAGGGCACCAGGTGGCTCCATAGTTTAGCTTTTGTGAATTGAGCTGCTATAAACATTGTTGTGGCTGCATCACTGTAGTATGATGATTTTTAGTCTTTTGGGGATAACTGGGTCAACTGGTGGTTACATTCCAAGTTTTCTGAGGAATCTCCATACTGCTTTCCATAGTGGTTACACCAGTTTGCAGTCACACCAGCAATGTATGAGTGTACCCCTTTCCCCACATCCTCGCCAATATCTATTGTTAACTTTTACTCTTGATAATTGCCATTCTGACTGGAGTGAATATCAGTGTAGTTTTAATTTGCATTTCTCTAATTGCTAGAGGATGTTGAACATTTTTTCGTATATTTGTTGACCGATTATATTTCTTTTTCTGTGAAGAGCTTGTTCAGTTCCTTTGTCATTTATTGATTGGTTATTTTTTTCTTTTTTGGTGTTAAGTTTTTTGAGTTCTTTATATATCCTGGAGATTGATGCTCTATCTGATGTGCTGGTGGCAAAGATTTTATCCCATTCTTTAGGCTCTCTCGTCACGCTCTTGATTGTTTCTTTTGCTGTGAAGAAGCTTTTTAATTTGATTCCATGGGAGAGGACTTTTTAAAAGAAATCAATGGAAAAATTCATGAAAGAAAAAAATTGAGAGGTTTGACTTAATCAAAATTTAAAGTGGTATATCTAATCATCGTGAATAAAATAAAAAAGCTAATGATAAACCACGATAAAAGTATGCCACATATATGGCAATATAAAGATATCTTTAATATAGAAAGAACCTGTGCAAATCAAAATGAAAAATGCTAATACCAAAATCCATATTAATTCATAGAAGAAATGCACATAACCAGAAAAACGATTTAAAAAACCCCAGTTCTTCCAGTAATTAAAAAAGAAGAAAACCTGATCTTTTAAAGAGAGATCCCAGGAGCTAGGGATATAGTTCACAGGTAGACCACTTGCCTAATATGCACAAAGCTCTGAGTTCAAACTTCCCAATGGCAGGGGGTGGGCAGGGGGAGAGCGAGAGAAAGAAAAAGTGGGTGTGTTTCATTTTTCATTAACCAAAGTAGAAAAGACTTTAAAACGTGTGCTAAAATAAACCCTCAGTCTTCTATTAGGAGGTGAAATTATATACTGCATTCAAGGTAAGAGATTTGACCATGTGGTTAAACGGTCTTAGCAAGTTTCATACTCTTTAACCCAGTAATCTCATTCATAGGAACATAGGGATATATCCTAAACAGTGACCAGAAAGGTAGCCAAAAGGTTTTGCACAGGTCTTTCACTTCAGGATGAGAGCAAGCACTTGAGGCCTGGGCATGGTCCAGCACCTGAGGAATGGACCATCGATGGGACACTCAAACATGGGAAGTTTTGTAACCATCAAAATCATGTAATTGGGGCTGGGGATGTGGCTCAAGTGGTAGCACGCTCGCCTGGCGTGCGTGCGGCCCGGGTTCGATCCTCAGCACCACAAACAAAGATGTTGTGTCCGCCGAAAACTAAAAAATAAATATGAAAATTCTCTCTCTCTCTCTTAAAAAAAAATCATGTAATTGAGGACGCTGATTCTGATCACCCCCGAGTTTCTTTCAGCGTTCCTGTTTACCAGGGCCCACAGTGGTGACAGAATGTCTCATGGAGATTTTCGTGAGGACATGGGGTCATGTGTAGACCATCCATAAACGCTTTCCTGAGGGTCAGACATGATTCCTTTCCCAACTTCTTTCTTTCTTCCTCCTTTGGGGGAGTTTTCTAAGCCACATCAGGAGTCAGTCTGTGTCCCACCACAGAAGAAAGAATTCTCACTAGAATTCCTGGAACCGAAGGGGACACTCAAGTCCTCAAGTGAAATCTCTGTGCTGAAAGTGAAGGGTTGAGTTCTGGGGTGGGAATCAAGACCCCATCCTTAGGGGCAGAAGGAGATGTGACAGAGTAAGAGTCATGCTTCCGTCTAAGGGAGGCAGAGTAAACCGGGGAAAGAATCCCGGCCCCCTTTGGGCACCTTCACCAGACATGCTCCCAGGAGAGCCCGCTGCAGTTTCTGTGCCCTCACTTGCTCGCTCATTCATTCAAAGCCTCCTGCCAAATGCTTTGTGTGCGGGGAAGCAGACCCATGTCCTGCCGGGAAGGGTGCCAGTGCCTGGGGACCGCGGAGCCATGGTGCAAACACGGAATTTCAAAGTGGGGAGGCGGGGCAGGGGACGTGGACGCGGCCCCGCTAGCCCAGGCCAGGCCTGCCTGGGGAGGAGGTATTTTGACTTTTAAGGCCAGCCTGAAGGATAGGTAAGTGAGGGCAGCGGGCGGCGCGCGCGCCGGAGGAGCCAGAAGTCCTGGCCCTCGTGGCCCTGGTGGCCACCGCACTGCCCAGCCGGGCTGGGGCGTGGTCAGAGTTTAGGGCTGCGCCGAGGGGGATCCCGATCCGGCCCTTTCCCACGGTTCGTGCCGCCTCCGCGCCTCTGCTGCCACCTGCGCTGTCCTTGCGCTCGCCCCCTTCGCGTGCGTTTCGGCACCGCTGCGCTGTGGGCCAGAGCCGGCCGAAGCGGGCCGCCGACCCCACGAGGAACAGCGGCCCCCGGGGCTGGGCCCTGCAGGTGCGTGCAGCGCCGGCCATTCCCAGGAACCCGTGGTGGCAGGCGCCGGGGCGGGGGCGCCCACGGGGACACGCAGGTTAGTGGGCTCTGCAGGAACCCGCCGGCGCCAGGCTCGGGTGTCCTGCCTTTGCTCTTGCTGTGTATCGCCCTAGGGACAGTTATTTATAGACAGGGATAGTTTCTTGGCCGCAGGGCTCTTGTGACTTTGCTGGTTTCTATTCGAGACGCTGTTTGGGGGCTGGATGCCCGCATCCTCCGGGCTGAAATCGTGAGGAAAGGGCTGCCTAACGCAAGTTCCAATTCAGCTGCATCATCCTCTGTTGGCTTCGGGAGCGGGCCGCTTTTTTTAAGGGCCCTTTCCCAAGGTCTGTCTGGGCTCACAGGCCTCCTCCGCTGCCACCTGCCATTTTATAAACAGGTGACAGCCCCGTGGGGATGGATTGCTTTTTCCTACTGTTATTTTATTATAAGCCACTTCCAATGAGTTTGGGCTAAAAAGTGGAGTTTGCACAAACTCTTTTTTTTTTTTAAAGAGAGAGAGAGAGAGAGAGAGAGAGAGAGAACTTTTTTAATATTTTATTTTTTTAGTTTTCGGCAGACACAACATCTTTGTTTGTATGTGGTGCTGAGGATGGAACAGGGGCCACTCGCATGCCAGGCGAGCGTGCTACCGCTTGAGCCACATCCCCAGCCCTGCACAAACTCTTTAGCATCTCAAGTTGACATGGAAAACAAGGGACATCAAGGGAGGGGCATGCAGATTCCCTGAACCTATAGAGGAGACTCCATACTGGGTGCCTCTGTAGAAAGATAAATTCAGTGAATTTACGTTCTGATGGCAGGGGAATGTGGAGGGATTATCAGTGCTCCTGTCCTCCCATCAGTCTTTCCACCAAACGTGTCCTTCCAGTCCCATGACATGTCCAGTATGAAAGGCTTATAATAGGTACGATTTCCCCCTTTTTAAGCAGTGATTGGCTCTCCCTAAGTATGGAAGTCTCAAAGAAAATGTTCAGGCTGGCTGAGGGAAAAAAGGAAATTCAGTGATTATGTGACTCATCCATTCCTTCTCACCACTCTCTCAGTCACAGGTGAGGGTGCATCTGCACTAGGTGTCTCACAGTATCTATTAATCATCCTCTGTGCTTTGCCTGGTGACACACACACACTCGCAGGGGCCTTGAGGGCTTTATTTTAGGCCTTGACCCTCAATCCCTACACTTTCCCCCTTATCCCCTCCCCAGCAAGTCTTTGGGGTCAGAATGCTCCATCAAGACCCCACACAGTTGTTATCAAGCTGCAGTTTGTACCAGAAACCTCTGCCCTTCCTCCTACAGTCTGAGGCCCTACTCTTAAGTTCATGTGATCACAAAAGCAGCATGTCAGTACTTGAAGCCAACTTCAGTTCACCTCTCACTCATTTGGAAGATAAAATGATGCAACCCGCAGAAGTTCAAATGGTAGGCACTGTGATTGACCTCAGGAGGACAATTTTCAGGCAGGCAGGCTTTTCCATGCCTGAGACAGGTATGCAACTTCTGGGAATGAGACCTCCACCTGCTTTGTATAGACTATCAGAGCCTGAGTTTCCTGCTCTGTTCAAAAGAGGTACAGTACTAATATGTTTACAAAAAACATTTATGAGGACGAACTGAAGACAGCTTGCCCTCCTGTTCCCTTCCGGTGACTGACTGACTGGGTTGTTATACTCAGTCTTGTGAACCTGTCTCATTAGCAGCCCCAATTCCCGTATTTCAGGGGCACATGCCTACAGTCTCAGGGCTACCAAATGTGTTCATGTATATGTTGGTGGGTCAGATGCAACCTCTAAATTCAGGATGCCTAACCATGGCCTCTATTGCTTCACTGTACAAATTGCAGCTCACACAGGCTGAGTCTTGGGCTGCCTGGAAGGATGCACAGGCTAATGCTTTTTTTCATATTGCTTATAAATGTTTTAGTCAGTTTCCACATTCATTCATTTGTCCTCCTAAATCTGCTCCTCCCAAACCCTTTAAAGTGAAATTTGTTCAAGAAATGGGACAGGATCCTTAGGAAGACAACGATGCACTGGGAGCAGGGTCACAATCTGCCGTTCAAGCTCTCATCTATTGAGGTGGCTTAGACTTTGGAAGGTGCTGAGGACTTGGGAGATGGTCACTGTGGGCCATCTGGATGCATATGGTATTAATCACCCACCTGGAGATCCTGTCTGGGGCTGGCAGGTAGTGACAACCCTCTCCTGCCAGGAGCTGATTTTTACTTGTCTGGGATGTAGAGGACCCTCCTCTCTGCTGAATGAAGATAAGTTGCTTTCAATGGAGAAAACTTTCTGAGCACTTTGCTCTCTAGTGGCCAACTGAGTAAAACAGAGACCTGTTCTATCTTAATGAACCAATGGCGGCATGAGCCAGTTTATTCCAACAGCCTGTACTGAGCACCTAGTTTGTATAGGCACAGTGCTAAATATCAGAATGCGAAAGCACTAAGAGGCCACCTCAAATCACACTTTTGGAAATTGAATCACGCTGTTAAGTGTATTAGAAAACCCAGGATATTCCTTGGAGCTTGGCAATCCAGTTTGTGGCCCTCCTTTTTTTTTCTTTTTTTCCCATAGTTGAGAAACTGGGACCCAGAGGGATGAAACGTTTAGTTCAGGACTACATGACCATTTAGGAACAAAGAGAAAAAGAGGAGTGCTAATGAAATTAAGTAGAAGGTCATTCTCTTATTTTTTATACTTTTTTATTTTAAAATAACTTTAGGCTTAAAATAGAGTTGCAAAAATAGTACAGAGAGTTCCTTATACCCTTCACTCAGATTCCTCCAATGTTAACATCTTACGCAACCATAGATTTATTAAAAAGAACACATGAACATTGGGGCAATACTTAACTAAACTGCTGACTTAAGATTTCACCAGTTTCCCTGCTAATAGTCTTTTTTTTTTCTGGTCCAATATGCAATCCAGGACACCACATCACATTTAGAGCCTTTACTTTTTAACTTTGAATTTTGCTCTACTTAAAGTTCCTTTAAAACGGTGATGCATCACCGACATTCAGCTACTACACAGAAAGTGCATCCCACATCTTTTCTGACTTGCAGGGTGCAGGGCATTTTCAGGGTATTATTTTCCCTGGCATTTTATACTTCTCATCTGCAGCTTTTTGGTGTGTGCAAGTTAGGCACCGTCACAGTCACCCATCTGATCTGGATACAAAAGAGTATCCTCAGCGCTGGCCATGGTGCACCTGAACTTTTTGCCACTCTTGGATCTTGAGTCCTATTTCTTTTCTTTTTGGTACCAGGGATTGAGCCTAGGGGCATTCAATCACTGAGCCACATCCCTTGTCCTTTTTTATTTTTTAAAATTTTATTAGAGACAAGGTCTCACTAAGCTGCTGAGGGCCTCACTAAATTGCTGAGGCTGGCTTTGAACTTGCGATCCTCCTACCTTAGCCTCCGAGTTGCTGGGATTACAGGCATGTGCCACCATGATAGCCCTGCTTTGAGTCCTGCTTCTATTATTATTGTGTATACTCATTCTGTGCTCTCAGTTGTTTTGTTTATTCAGTGAAGGACTTTGGAGCCAGAAAAACCCAAATTCAAACCTCAGCCTCCCTATCAAGTTATGGGACTTAGAACAGGTTACTCAACTGCTTTTAAAATTCAGTGTCCTCCTCTACAAGATGGGGACAATAATAGCTACCTTGCATGGCATATTAGTCTGTTTTATGTTCTTATAACAAAATAACCAGAGGTTGAATAATTAGTATAAAGAAAAGAGGTTTCTTAAGCTCACAGTTTTGGAGACTAAAAGTCCAAGATTGGGCAACTTGTTTGGCCCCAGATGAGGACACCTGTGGCTGTATCACATGGCAGGAGGGAAAAGCAGGAGAAGCAGCTGTGTGCAGAAGGGGGCAGGCACATGTATTAACCTAATTTTACAAGAACCCACTCTTATGAGAACTGACCTGGGCTCTGTGAGAGCTACATTAATGCCCTTTGAGCAGCACAATGACCTAACCACCTTCCTCTAAGCCCTACCTCTTAAAGGTGCCACCACCTCATATTACCACCACATTAGGACCAAGCCTCTTTGGGGGCAAAGCACATCCGATTCATAGCACAAGGTTACAGGGGGCGGAATGTCCACAGTGATTAGCATGGGGCCTCGTGAGTGGAATGGGAGCCAGTGGATGAAGGGGAGGTCAGGCTATGTGGGTACAGTGGAATGTCCTGAATGCCAGGCAAGAGCCCCTAAAGGTCCCCGTGGGAGGGACAGGCACTGCAGTATAAAGAAAAGAGGGTCCCTTGAGAAAGGGTCCAGTGGGATCAGAGCTGCACTTTCCAAAGTCAAACTAGAGTGTGCTGAAGAGCAGTGCGGATCAGTCAGGAGGCCACCATGCTGGTTCCCATGGGAGCAGGCACTGGAGAGGGGTCCCGTCAGCTGCTGCAGAAACAAAGATGTGGGGCAAGGGAAGGTCCTGGCTCCAGAACAACTAAGTTCTGGGTCCCTGTGATGGTCCCTTGGTCATGAACAGAGATGACAATACAGGATAAAGAGGTCATCTGTGGGAGAAAAAGGCTCTTGGTGTGTTCCTGCTGCCGTGGAGATACCACTCTCAGTCTGTCTCTCTGACTTCCTTGAACTGGAACATGAGTGACTCTGCCCATGTGTAAGTCAGCTCTCCATCCCTGTGACAAAGGAGGGAAGGTGTATTTGGGCTCATGGTTTCAAAGGCTTCAGTCCATGGTCAGCTGGCTTTGTTGTCTCTGGGCCCGTGGTGAGGCCGAACCCCACGGGGAAGGGTGTGGTGAAGCAAAGCTGCTGTCTCACAGGGGTCAAGAAGCAGAGAGAGACACAAGCATGACCTTCATGGCACACCCCGAAGGACCTGTGTTCTCCAACTCAGCCGGCCTCCTACAGATTCACCACCTCGCCGTGGCCCGTGATGCGCCAGTGCCCTCACGGCTCAGTCATCTCCCAGGGGCCC